ATATATATATATATATATATATATATATATATATATATAATCGCATTTTTTAGTTCTTCCTGACTGTTCAGTAGTTTGCATATGCTTTCATCACTTTCATGTACTATTGTTTTGAAAACTTCCATCCAATTTGCCCAAAAGATTAATTTTATGCTTCTCAGATATCAATATCAGGCATGATTTATCCCAAATTAAAGTAACACATTTCATTCAAATCCAAATTTAACTTATGTATGAAATAAGTTTACAGACCATCAAAACCGATAATGACTGTATATAAACCAATATTAAAGAGATTTCAGAACAAATGAAGTAACAACAAGTGCCAAAGTAGAAGACGAGCTGTCAATAACTGACCTTCTCACGATATACAGAAACCAGATCAGGTGCAACATATAGCTTTCCTTCATCTCCCATAACAGGATCACAAACTAGTAAGAAGAAGTCTAATAAATTCCAGGATGAGAAAATATTGTGAAAGTATACCCTATCAACAGCATCACTGAAGAATTATACCAACAGTTACAAACAGGCTACCTGGTACAACTCAAAATAGAGTTTTACAGAAGATTTGACCAAACTTTGTAAGGTTACTTCCCTAAATTTGAAAGTATAAAAGAGGCTCCAGGCTCAAAGATAGTTAAAGGACTCCTGTATAAATTGGTTTTCTGGAAAATCTCATGTGGAATTTCTCATTTCTCCAACATCTTGCTCAAGTAAATATTTCCAGAACAACCATCTATTGCATTCAGATGGTTAAGTCAACTAAGGTGTTTATTTCTTTTACACAGGCTCAATTCGAAATAGGAAGATTACATGAGAACATAAGTATATCATCTAGATATCATTTCAACATTGATAAATATATTTCACAATTCATTATTTTTAATATTTTGATCTCTATCTTTTGCCATTGTACAGTAATCAAATTTGTTAATCATACATTTTTTAAAAAATCGAGTAAAGTCAAAATATAACTTGACCAATACACTCTCTCAGTATCCCATAACAGAAAATCAAAAGTTTGGATGCTTCTTAGAGAATTAAGACAAATTTACCATCAAGCCTTGTAATGCATGGCAAGTCAAACACTGTGCTTGTTTAAGAAAAAGAAAGTTTGTCAAAAACTAACCATATAGAAGTCCAGGATTGACCACCCGCAGTCTCTCCACAACTTGTAATACCATTTCCAGAAATGAAACTGAACCAATATAACCTGCAGACTTGCAAAATTTGTGAGAACTTACTGTGCAGAAATAAAATGATAGAAGATCTGTGATAAAAACAATGCATTTGCTGCTAATACATTTTTCCAGAATTTACATATAGGTTTACAATAAATAGTGGCATGCAAATACAAACAAGACTTGCTAAACCTCAATGATAACTTCATAGAAACAAAACTTTTTAATACACTAGATGTCACTCAAATACATAACATCACATCTATGCTAAAGAATGACAGTTAACAATTTCAACATTAAGGAACATCAAGCGTGTAGCACACATTTTAAATTGGAATTATACATTAATCCCATAAATGGACATGAACATTCACATATGGTGCATGTTCAAGTCTCTACAAAGTCATTGCCTACATTGTTCTTCATCTTGGAAATCGCATCATAGCATTTAGAAGTAGAATCTTGTACTGATCAGTTGTGCAGTAACTACTACTTTCCTAATTTTTTGAGTTCTGTTTAGAACCTGGTGCTTTCAGGTTGAAACAATTCTTGATGTCATCATAATAACACAAGATAGGTTGGAACACTTTTTGTTTGATAGATCCTCCTAAAGAACTATTTATTGTTTATGGAAAGCACTATCGGATGATAGGTTGAATTCCACTTTGACATCATATGTACACTTGTTCCCTCCTACCCTTCAATTACAACATGGGCTCCTTCGTACAGTGAACAGTTATTCTCCAGTGACAATAGCAAATTGATATCTGAAGCTTGCCAAAAGATTCTTTTCTTTTTTTCTTTTTTGCAATTTCCAGAAGTATAATCGATCCACATCCCCAAAATATTTCTTTGTTGATGAAGATGGCCTTTGTCTGATTAAAAATACAAGTGCTTAATATCAACACCTTAATTGGTATCCATAAAGAAGCTTCTGGTATTACAGCGGACGCTAAGTCTATGGGCCCTTCTTACTGCTCATTGAACTCTGATTTTGTCCAGAGATCCCATGATCATGGTTGGAAATGTGAATTGTACATGATAACTATCACTGCCCTGCATAACTAAAAACTCATTTGACTCGATTTGATGGTGCGAACTATTTTTACATGACAAAAAAAACAGACACAAAAATAAGACAATTCCGCTATAAGATGAAAAACAAGTTTAAATAAACAAATGATAATGTTAAATAAGTAAAGAAAAATGTCACTTTATCCATTAAATCTTCAACAGGTAATTTGTTTTGCAAAATTGCTGAGCAACAGCAATGCAGCATAAAATAAAAGGCCAACCTGTTAATAAATGGGTGTAATATAATAGATGATTTTCTGAAAGGCCTTCAATCAGATCACACAGCTGTTGGCCATTAAGAACATGCCCTTTAAATGTTGGATATCCTGCAAAATCAACTATTGGTTAAACCACTAACTGAATTTGATCCAAACTGTGCACCGCTCAACCATGCACTCGTACACAGCAGCAAATAATATCGCACCGTAAATGAGGCCTCTGATTCCGAGACTGTCGGAAGGAAGTTATGTAAAGCAGCTTGCCTGTATGATTCGAAAACTGAACTGAGTTGATAGGGTCCACATCATAGCCAAGTAGCTGAAGAGGAAAGACAGCAGATTTGTTGCCAACATATCCCTGGAAACAAAGAAACAGAGTCCAAGCATTATGACAATGATGTAACCAGAGAAAAACTACCATGACTAGCAGCCAAAAAGTAGTAGATAAAATCCCACCATCCCACCATGAACTGTAAAAATCGATGAGCCTTATTTAATCAAGTTGACTTTCATTCCATATTTTCAGCTAACCACACCAAGGAATTATGTCTATCAGGACTGCTGTTGTAGCTCCTATATATGATGAGGTAAAGAGGAAGCCTAAAGCATGAATTAGCATGATGACAATATAAAGTATCAACTCTGATGAAGAAACAAGTACTGGTAATAAAAAATGAAACGTAATTCTGATACACCTATAATTGTTAAGTTAAAACAGATGTTATTTTTCTTTTTCGGTTAAAGTAATACATAACTAATATCTTGTTACTTAGCAAATCCAATGATAGGCATGTAAAGAGATTAGAAAATAATCAGGGTAGTCTAAGACTGATAGCTCAGAGAATTGTATTGACCAGGAGTACATTAAACTGCCCCGTAGAGATGCTACTCAGAAGGTAATGCCTTAGAGCTGCATGATTTTATTGGCTGCCATAATGACATCTTCTAATGCTCCAAACCACAAGACCAACTATAGGCAACCCACATTCACATATCCTGGACCAGAACAATGATATAAAGAGTGACATCGCAAAAGGAAGACAAAATTTTCTTCAGTTTATGATTCTTTCTACCATCTACCATCTACCATCTACCATCTATAGTGACGAAGCGCGTTTCAAAAGCAGACAATTGCATCACGACTAGATGAATCGATCACTTAGTTGTGAAAATGTGGTCAGAAACCACGTGAAATGGACACTCAAGAAGATTCCCCTGCAGCCGATGGGGATATTTATATACTAAAAAGAACATTCTTATCCATGGTGTCACTCAAGCATGCTCCAGCCAGAGCCCTAAACAATGGCGAAACCACATAGAATTGTGTCATCAGATTCTCTTAACCAAGAACAAGAACTACCCTAATCAAAAAGTTCAGCTACCATGTGAAAAGCCCTGGAAAGAAGGCGCATAAAAGCACGAGATCAAGAAGAGTAACAAAGAAAGAAGAGGCCACGAAAGGAATAGAAGGACACCTGGACCGTGTGAGATTGGATGCTGAGGACCCGACCGGTCTCGGAGGGCAGCACGAGGGAGAGGATCGGTGGAGGCGTCATCGCCGATCGGCCCGACGACCTACGAATACGAAGCAAAACAACCTATTATGCTTCGCTTTAAAAGAATGGGGGGGAGGGGAGGGGAGAGGCGAATCCGCGCTAATCAGTATCTCTGTCGCCATCAACTTTTACCTCGCCGAATAAGAAGGGGAAGTTCGTAGGCCGAGGTGGAGGCGGCGTGGGAGCAGCACCAGTGGTTGCTTCATTTCATCTCGTCGGAACGGCTGACGCTGATGGGAGAGGGGAGGACCACATCCCCATTTCCACGGCTGCGATGATGCGCCCACGCGACCGCGAACGCGCACGCCTCCTCGACTATCCTCTCTCTCTCTCTCTCTCTCTCTCTCTCTCTCTCTCTCTTTCTCTCTCGTGGCTGTACCCACCACCCGGCGTGGCAGGCAGGTCCGTTTTCCCGATCAGGAAAGCAAAGTGCGCCAGCCGCCGTGTCAACGACGCATCCGACGGATGGCGTTCGCGGCTTGGAACTCTTTGACCCGACAACGAGAGGCTGGACTTTTTTCTTTTTCGCATAAAGTCATTATGGGAAATAATAATAATTAAATCGAACAAAAAAAATTATTTTGTTCTTTTTATCGATATAATGTATTCGAATAAAAATATGAGACGGTATATTGTTATGATTATAAAATAATTAATAAGAACCTAAGTATATGACATCAGTAGGATCCAGTTGACTCGAATTTTAGTCTTTTTTCTAATTGAATTTGGAGTGAATAGAGTAATTTAGATTTAGGTTTGAGTTTAGATATCAAATTCCGTCCAAATAGAATTTAAATTAGACTAAAAGTAGGGAGTACTCGACTTGCTAAACTCATCACATAAATAAATTGAGGCATATTATGTGTATTTTGATTCATATATTTTAAAAAATTATATTGATATTTTTATATTTACGAAAGTAAAATATTTAATCACGTTGTCGACTCTACCAACGAAAGCTACCGCATTGTGCTGCCATGTATAGAAAAGATACTAAAATAAGAATAAATAAAAAATTTTGATTCTTATCGTCTAAAGAGATTAATTTCACATAGAGCTACTGGCCTTATGCGCATCGTCAACACCACCATTGAGTAGACCGTTCGAAAGGATAATAAAGCCGAAGTCTAGGAAAGCAAAGCAATCATTGAATAGGTCATCCGAGAGGATAGCGAAATAGAAGAAATGGGATGGTGTAGGAAATGAGGATCATCACCGACGTCGTCATTGGGTAGGCAATCCGGGAGGATAATGAAGCTAAAGGAAAAGATAAAACTAGAGGGAGGATAATGAAGCTTTGACATTAGTTATCTTTATATGAAATTAATCTCTTTGGATGATGAGGATAGAAATTATATTTTTTTATCTCTTTTTAGCATCATTTCTACACATGATAGTAAGTGCGATATTTTCTGTTAACATAGTCGATGGTGTAAACAAAATAGAATTGAATGTTTTACTTTTGTAAGCATAGAAATGATAATATATTTTTTTAAAAATATAGAGATTGTGATGCTAAACATAACTAAGTAGATGGGTAATTTTTATGTGCTTCGAATAAGTGCTTATGATAATTATCGAATCCATAGTAAATAATAAAAAGTCATGTTTTTTACTCGAGAGCCAAATAATGAGAATAAATCAACAAGTTTTTTTGAAAAAAAATAAAAATGAAAAAATCGAATCCAAAGGAATCGATGATTTTATATTTTAAAATTATGGAAGAATTTGTAAGTTCCTTGATGCTTATAATTTATACTGTATTATTAAGTCGTTCGTATTGACATATAAATCAAACTATCTCCAAATAAAAAATCAAATATGATAAGAAAATATTTGGTCGGTCTGTTATTGGTGTCGTCCATAGGCTTACGAGGAATTATTCACTTTGAGCAATGAGTATACCCCTCCCTGATGAGCTCTAAAATGAATCTCTAAATGTAAGGGAGACCCGGTGACCTTATGATGGCCTTATGGGTCATTGGTTTCCCTACTCCTTAACAAACTTAATGATCTTATCAGTGATCCCTCCCGTATAGGAGCTAATGGCTCATTGCTCTTTTTTTGAGTGCCAATCTAATAAAGGAACATTTAGTCGATCCACAATATGCAATACTCATGTGAAATTATAAACTCATAAAAAATTATCTGTTTTAGGTAATGAATGTACATGTCACAATTTTGTTCTTTCGAGCTTAATTTTGTTCTTTCGAAGCTCGTTAGTTTCAAAAAATGGGTAAGGAAGACCCAACAGACTTATTAGCCCTTGGTTCCTCTACTCCTCAACCAATATAATACTAAATGATGTCATCAAATATATATATATATATATATATATATATATATATATATATATATATATATATATATTAATCCTGATCTAAGTTCATTGACTTAATGATTCTATGACGTATTTGATCTATTAAAATTTGACTTAATAGAGTTAGAAATATAAAGATTTAATCACCATTTCTCTCTTACAAAAAATGTAGGTCAAATAAGAAAGTCTCCCCTCCCCATTCCGACAATAAAATCGTTGATAGTAAAAAAATTTATTAGAGAAACTACTTAACAAAAGCGATATTGTCCCTTTTTTCCATTATTATGTTACCTTAAAATGCTAGAAGTCCATCGCGGAAAGATTAATGCTTGCGTCGATGCACTTAACATACAATTCTATCAATGTAATAAAAACATGATCTTTATTTTTATTGAGACATTCGATTTATAATTGTATCTTATATTCGATTCCACCTATAACCATCATATATATTATTTAATTAAATAATCTTTTGGAAAAAAAAAATGCAATTCTTGTGTTCTTATGACCTACACGAACTATCTAACTTCTACCATGTTGATGATGATTTTTTGTTTCTTTTTATGATTCTATTGAGGTTAATTTTGATGATTGAATTGAGGTATCTTGGTTGACTTGTTCTAATTATTTTTTTTTTTAATCTTGTACTATAAATTGTAAAAGAAGAAGTTTACTTTGAAATGAACCATAATATAAGCATCCAATCAAAAAACATGCGAGTCCATCGGATGGTTCGACATTTTAATTTTGATGATTCATGTAAAATATGATGCACGGGTGTTCTTGTGATTGTTCATGTAAAATATCACGAGGAGGATTGGGAAGAATAAATGTCATAAGAGTTTGATTTAAAGAATATATATTCTTTGTTTGCAAAGAATAAAAGACAAAAGTGACAAAGTTATTTAAGTATTTTCTAACTAAGCTAATCAACAATTTAAAATAATCTTAGGTAACTTAAGAATACAAAACCTTGTGTTGTTCATAACTAAGTATTAGGTCTTCTAAAATGAAAAGCAAACCATGGCCTCAAATATATTCCGTGCATGAATCAACACCATGTAACCATGTAATGGTCTATGAATCATCTAATAATTATTGTCAAGATGTAATAATAAATATGGATAAGCACGAACAATTATAAGATTATATGATGAATATATATATATATATATATATATATATATATATATATATATATATATAT